TAAGCGCAACCTTATCCTGCTCGTTACCGTTTCACTTAATAACCGGTACTCCAGCGAATGCACTCGTTGTAGCATATATCAATATACCGCATCATAAAATGGTACATCCATACTAATTCATATTCTATACGTAAAGTAAAATTCTGAGTCGAATCTGTACATGAAATATTTTTTGGAAAATCTTATTGAAATAATCATTACTGTCGATACAGAGGCCGAATCTATAATTTTTAGAATTTTTGTCTGTCTGTCTGTCTATGACGAGAAAACCACTGGACAGATTCTGATGATATTTGGTATGATGATAGCCGGTTATCCGGGTCAACATATAGGATACTTTTTACTACGAGAAAATATCTCATCTCTGAGAAATCTTATACTAAATGTTAAAACGTAACTAGGGACGTACCCAAGATGAGTGAGGGTGAGTCACAAATAATATTATAAATGTGAAAATTTGTGACGATGGATGGATTTTTGTTACAACGCCAAGACAACTGAACGGATCTGGATGAAAGAAAGGCACAGAGATAGATTACAGTCAACATTTTATAGAGACCGTATCAATATTAGATATCTATATTTCATTAATAAATAGAATGTCTGCTCTAGATATTTAAGCTCTTCTTAAGTAACGAAGTTATCTTCGTGTAAAACAGGATTTTTCAATTTTCATACTAGAGTACCTATAGATACTGGCATGTGTCAAACTCACGAATTTAAGCTATTTACAATCATAATAATAATGGCATGCGGTTCGCCAGTAAGCGGGTCACTTGAAAGCTACTGGACATTTTCGATTTGGCTATTTTTAACCAATTTTCTAAACTGTGGAAACGATTCCAAAGAGGATTTTTAAGGGAGAATTTGAATGGAAAATGGGGTGACTGAAAGGGCTTTTTATAGGACTTTGTTAGGTGACTTTTAACTTTTTTGAGATTTATGTCGGTTTAGCTAGTATTTATTAGTGTAGATTTATAATAATAATTGCAGTTAATTGCGGGTATAGGGCCTTCTATAGTTGGAATATTGATAAACCTGTTTACTGCATGCGTTTGGTCTAAAGCAATATGGCCCGATATCGACACATACCCAGGATGGGCTGACGAAATGAACACGAAAGTTAATTGAAATTTTACAATATATTGTAAATACATTAATTTTTTTATAAAGCCATTTCATTTTATAAATAATTAACTAACATATTAGATTAGATAGTAATTGAATATCTGTTCCTTATTTTCATTTCGACAAAAATCCACAGCAATGTTATTTTAAAAACTTGTTGAATTTTATTTATACTTATTGCAGATTTTAAAAATATGTATATTAAAAAAATATTACAATTTTTACGTCAGTATTCTACATTCTGGTATGTAGACAATTAAGAGTCTTTAAAAATATTGATTTAAAGGTTAAAATTAAACGAGTGTTCCCAATTTATGAAAAAAAAAGTTTTCGCGTGGCCGGACATTGGTAGGGGCTGGTTCACTGAACATATTACTCGAACTAAATATAACATATAAAAATAAAATGCCTCTTAAATTTTCCAATTTATTTATAATAACAACTAACAATAGGTACATTCTTTTCACCTCTATTTACACATGAACATATTTACATTTGGCAACATTCTATATATTATTTTACTAAAAGTATGAGATAAGCAAAATCATTCGAAGTAGTCGTGTATACAACTCAATATTTTAATGACATTTTTTCGTCAGTATTTAAAGATGGTTATTTTATAAAAATTCAATTCTCTCAATAGATATTCTTAAAATAATAGGAAATCTTAAAATAATAGTAATGTTGCCACATTCAAATATATAAGAAATACGTCTTTATTGCTACAAAACATACGTTTTAATGAGAAATGCGATTTGGAACGTGATAAACAATGTACAATCTTTTCTCATACAAAATATTTAACTCATCACAAAGAAATATGAGAATAAAGAAATATTTTAAATAAAACTATCTTTTCGGATTTTTCGGAATTTGGGAGAGATTCTCTCCCGTCACTATGATTGCTGTAAAGCATTCGAAACGTCGGAAGCCAAAAATCAAAATAAATCCGTAAAGATAGTTTTATTTAAAATGTCAAATATTCGCGTAAATCTAAGAAAGTATTAAAGAAATATTTATTAATAAATAATTAATTACGTTTGCCTTTGATTTACATTAAAAAAAACACAAAAATATGATATATTTTAGACTCAACAATTAGTAAATTATGATTTTTTTCGCTTTTTTTTTCGCTTTTTTCGCTTTCTTATAGAAACGTGTCTTCTTTAAATAAATAAAAATTCTGTTAATGGCTGCTTAATCCTAAGCATTCATAAATATTATTTTAAAATGAGAATCGCCATAACATAATGACATTTAAATCTGTATAAAATACTTTGTGCATTATTTCTTATTCGAATGATACATTTTTATATTTTAACATGTACATACACCAAATATAATTTAATAATTAGGAACGAGCAAAAATAACACTTTGATAAATGTAGTAGCAATGGCTATTGCTTAGAAAAAATATAAAAAAAAACTTTTTTTATAAAAACGTGATGTAGACCGTTTGGTAAAATTCTGGTCCACACGTGTGGAACTAGACTTATAAAAACTCAGTCCACTGAGACATTATTCAAGTATAGCAAAGATAATAAAAAAACTTTTAATATCTTTTTTGAAGACGGTAACTATTGGCACAAATAATCCTATAATGTTAGCAATTATTTCTATAAAATTGAATATAATCTATTTCCCAATAAGTAGCTTTTATATAAACTTTTAAAAATCAAGATTCTGTTATTATTATGTATAAATAAATAAATTTCATATTTAAAATTATGCTGTTTAACATCATATATCTGGTATTACAAAATTGATTTCTTTTTGTTACTAACCGACTTCAAAAACGTCCTTCTTTCTCTATTTGGGTGGATGATTTATTGTGTATGGCTTTATTCTATTAGGAAATGGTTTTAATATTTTTTGATGTGAAACATCTATTGGATGGACTTGCCAGTAAAACCGACTCATACCATCATGTCCTTTGTTTGTGCACGCGCGTATATTATTATTATTATTAAAATAACAAGAAATAAATTTATTTTACTAACGAAACTCTATTATTTTCTTTATTTTACTGCATATTTCGTTACAGGTTTTTTTGTTAAATATGAATTCTAATATTAACATAGATGTTTCACATCTGGTGGGCGTTACGTGACGGGTAACTTTTTTTTAAGAATACACGTGGTCCCAAACTTTTTCCAAACAAAATCCATTAAGTACTAAAGAATTCTTTCTAATATATATTGCTTTAGTAATTTTTGAAGTCGGTGTAACTTTTTATTATAGAAGTAATTATTTTATATCAATAATTACAATATCACAAATATTATTTTATTGTATTATAATTATTTATTTTAATTATTACCTTAATATAGTGATTTATACGGTTTTTGTATAAAGTCAAGGCACTATGAGATTGGATGCAAAAATACCTACATATATCTAGTAGATTATTATATGCCAATATAGAATATGAATTTCAAACAAAAATATATAATACGTTTACAAATTTGGTATTAGTACAATAATAATCAATTGGCGGTAATTAAATTTCCCTAGCGGCTGTTTTCAGAACTAACCACAGCTGTTTACAGAATTACTTAATGATAACAATAGTAATCCTAATTAATTTATCACCTGTGGGTTCTTTGATCTATGAACATTATACACTGACTAAATACACTTATTGTATGCTGATATAAAAGGTCCATTATAATATATGTTACTATAATGATTGGTTGAAGTTAGTTCTGTAACTAGCAAGTACAGAATTTACTCACAGCCAAAGATCATAAAAGTTAGAGAACAAAAGATCCATTGTTATAGAAAATATATCCTCAAGAAAAACTAAACTTTTGAAAAATAAAGTGAATCGCTTTATGGCTGTTCAAATGACAAAGTTTTGTTAAATTTGTTTTCATCGAAGGACTGTGAAGTCCGCCAACCCGCTATTGGCAAACGTGATGGGCTATGACCTGATCCCCCTCGTATTGAAGGGAGGCCCACCCCCAGGAGTGGGGTAAAAAGGGCTGAATATGTAGCTAGAAAATGAGGTATAAAATTTCTGAAATTGACAGGCGGTTAATTTATTAGGACCTTTTTCCTTTCTCTAACTCTATGGACATTGTTGACACAATTACGCCATATTTTAGGCAATTTTAAACAATTTCTTTTAAATAGGTTTTTTATTAAAATTCGTCACATAAAAATATATATTTGACTTATACTTATACAGTACAGTGTAAAAATATCAGATCTAATTAAATATCATTATTCTAAATATAACTAGGAACATCCGTTACTGGATTTAAATACATACTACGATGACATTTGTTTTGGCGCGTTCTTGGGAAATTGCCATTTTATTAAATAAATAATTTTTTTTTGTTTTGTAATTAACTTGATACACTTAACACATCTTACTTTTTTGTATATTTTTTCACATGGCAACCCAAAATAAATAAGCAAGATCGCTCCAAAATAAATACTTTTTTTATTACCTAAGTCCACACCCGCATCACCTTACATTTATCACTCAAACAATATATTATGTATCTTTTGGTAATGTAATTCCCGCATGGGATATATACTATAAAAACAATATAATAAATGCTTTACGATGTACTGAACACAGCAAATGCTATAATGCTCTTGGATACGGTAGAATTTTTTTTTGGTAATCAAACATTATTACTGTAGTAATTAAAAATAAAAGCTTAAAAATAACATATACTTCTTTTGTTTCAATGAAAAAAAAACTACCAAACTACCCTCAAGCACAATGGTAATACAATAAATACTATTAGAATGGCAACACCAACCCACATTTTCTAAGCACCAAAATGGCTTCAACATTAAATAATCATACTTTAACTTTTAAATGGCAAATAATTACACGTAAACGAACTATTACTTACTTGTGAAGCTAAAGTTTTATTTGCTATATTCGTAGTAGGTACCGTACAGTTGAAAATTCTTGTTGGATCGAGATTCTGTGGAAGAACATTGCACCTAAGGGAAAGGGTGTTGTTGTTTTTAAGGGTTGCAGCTGTAAGGGTGGGCTTTTCAAGGGCTGCGATGTCTTCTGGTTTGAAGATGAGGGACCCCCAAGTGGGGTAGGCGCCCCAGACGATGAGGGTTGTTATAATCTTAGGACCGATACCGCCAACAGCCTGGAATAAAGGGTAGGTTTTGTTAAAGGTAGTTTAAAATTTAAGGATTATTTTATTTTAGGTTTCATATATAGATGTTTGTATATTTGTATATGTATATAAGAATAAAAATGAACTGCGTACAAAAATAATGACTTTCTAAGTGAAAGTTGTATTTTCTTAGATATTATTTTTTACAGAAAATATGATTTTTCATATTTTATTCGTGAAGGAATCTCCTATAACAGACACAAAAAAATACCTTACAGTTTGCTAACTTTAGAAGGAGATACACGAACCGAGCATCTCCTTCACAAGTTAGCAAACAAAACAAATATATAGATTGAACATTTCCTTTCATCAAGTGAAAAACACAACACGCCATAATTCTTAGATATAATCGAATATTTGCCATTTTAAATAGTACTATCTTTTCGGATATTTTCCCTGGTATTTATCGATTTTTCGTCCGACGTTTCCAATGTTTCACAGTAACCATGGTTACGTGGGAGACTCTCTGTCTAGATACCTCTTCCGTGACCATGATACTCTCTGTTTGTCTGTGAAGCAAAACATCGTGAGGAAACCTGCATGTCTAAGAGAACCTAGCAAGCTTCCGAAAGACATGCTCAGTCCACCCGCACTCGGCCAGCGTGGTGGACTATGGCCTGATCCCCACCAGTGATCATCTCCAGCAGCGGGGCTGCCACATTGTATAATTGGATACGAAAATTTTAAATAAAACTATCTTTTCGGATTTTGTCGCGGATTTATTTGGATTTTTGTTTCCCGACGTTTCGAATGCTTTACAGCATCCATGGTCACGGGAGAGACTGAGGTGTTACATGTCTTGAATGTATAGTTGTTACAGACAGCCTACCCACAATTAACAAAATGAAAATTGCACCAATTACATTACAATATTTTTTAACTTTAAACATTTTTATAATTTTAATTATAATTGAATATGGAAAATTATTTATTTAATTTTGCTATTATTTTTATAATTATTACAATTTTAAAATATTAATTAGTAATCTATATTTAGTGTTGCCATTATTATATTTATAACCTGGCTATAATAAAAATGGGTAGGCTGTCTGTAACAACTATACATTCAAGACATGTAACACCTCAGTCTCTCCCGTGACCATGGATGCTGTAAAGCATTCGAAACGTCGGGAAACAAAAATCCAAATAAATCCGCGACAAAATCCGAAAAGATAGTTTTATTTAAAATGTCAAATATTCGCGTAAATCTAAGAAAGTATTATGGATACGAAAATTATAAAATATCGTTATTTTATGTATATTTCATTTTTAGTTGTTACGTATTTTTATTGAAATTTTTTATTCGTCACAAACTATTTTTCAACACTTTTATTAATTTGTATAGTAAGACTTGATTTAGTATAATTTGAGTGAGCCAGCGGTTTAAAATAAGTTGTCTCTACTGGCAGCCCGTGCCCAGCAGTGGGACGTTAAAAAGGGTGGGATACATACCATCTTGGAGGTGGGTATGTGCGCGACGCCGGCCACGATGGCGTTGGGCGGCGTGCCCACCGGCATGTGGAAGGCCATGGAGCAGGCGAGCGTCGCCGGGATCATCAGGTAGCGCGGGTCCATGTCCAGGGTGCGCGCCTGCGGGACGTCCATGGTTGTTGAGTTATTGAACAATAATATATGCATATGATGGGGTGGTGTTTTAAAAGAAATGTTATAAAGCTTTAAATGTCTTTTTAGTTAAAATAAGCGATGGTAACCAAAATTCTACATATTATGTCTATTGCATCCTATTGAAGTTGAGATCGGGTAGATAAAAAAAATTACATTTGATTTAAAGACTTCTTTAGAAGTCCGATCAGTCTTTATTTAATATGTACAAAAATACAAAACGCAATACAAAAATCTATACTAATATTATAAAGAGGAAAAGTTTGTGAGTTTGTGACTTTGTAGAGGGTAATCTCTGGATCTACTGAACCGATTTAGATGAAATTTAGTAAGAAAATAGTTTGAGACCCTGGTTAGGACATAGGATATTTAACCCGGTAATTATCCCTTATGGGAGTGAAAATGGGGATGAAAGTTTGTATTGGGAAGCAAGCCAGGGACGAACCCGGTTGAAGCGAGGGTGAGTCGCAAACCACATCAACCTAACCTAAAAAGAAACCCAAACCCACCATATTAGCCAATACGGGCAGTATCAAGTTGGCGATCGCCACGTTGGAGGTGAACTCTGTGATGAACTGTGTGACGAGCACCACCACCAGCAGCACCAGCGCCGGCGGCAGCCCGTGCAGCCCGTTCAGGGAGGACCCGATCATGGCCGAGAGTCCCGTCGCTTTGCTGCCTTCTGCTAATGCGAAGCCACCACCTGAAGAGAAAACAAGAATGTAATTAACATAAGAACTGTAGAAATATTTCTTTTAATATAGAACTGTATGTCCTTTAGATGATGCCGTATCAAATTTAGTGTGTCGTCACATAACAGACTCAAATTATACTATAAAAACGTGCAATAATAAAAAAAACACAGTAAATAATTTTGTCTAATAATATACATAAATTATCTATGAAATAAATGCTTACACGTGATTCGTCACGTTTTTCGTCATCTCGATCATCCTCCGGCCTCGAATCAAACCCACTTCATAATTGCTTTGAATTTTAATTTAAGTTAATGGCTATAATAATAAGCGTATCAAAGTCCGTAGCATTATTTCTGCTATCAAAAACACATTTAAAATTTATTGTTATAATTAAAAAAAAAACAGGAAAGTAGTAAATGGTTTATTAAATACAAATGTTTGAAGAACTCTGACTTACATTACTGTAGAATTCAAATTGATTTTTAAATAAAACTATCTTTTCGGAAATTTTCGCGGATTTATTTTGATTTTTGGTTCCCGACGTTTCGAATGCTTTACAACAAGGTTATAGACGTCTCAAAGGTCATTATATAATTATTATTTGTTACAAACAGTGCCTTTTTAATCAAATCATCATCAAAGAATCCGATAAGATAGTTTTATTTAAAATGTGAAATATTTGCACGAATCTAAGAAGGTATAATTCAGCCATTTTTAACGTCCCCCTGCTGGAAGTGAGCCTCCCTACAATGCGAGGGGGATCAGGCCATAGTTCACCACGCTGGCCGAGTTCGGGTGGACTGAGCATGTCTTACGACAACTTGCTAAGTTCTCTCAGCATACAGGTTTCCTCACGATGTTTTCCTTCACCGTAAGGCAAGTGATAATCATGTTAGAAATGATACGCACATGAAAATATCAGAGGTGCGAGACCCGGGATTTGAACTCGCTTCACTCGGTTTCCCAAACGAGCGCTTTACTACTAGAGTGCCACTACCTACATAAGCTTACACCTTAAAATTATACTTTTTAATTAAAATACACTTATCATAATAAACTAAGTAGGAACGCTCGAGACCTTATTTGTGTGTGCAAAGATATAGGCCAGACTTCTAGTTTTAGTACTTAAAATTATAGTAACATCGGTATTTCAAAAATTCTTATGGAGAAATATAAGTCCAGACCAAAAGAGAAATGGAGCTTACCCAGGAGGAAGAGCAGTCCCCACGGGATCTTCTCCTTCAGAATGTTCCATGTCACGATACTTGGCGCTGGTTTAGAAACTGCTAGTTCCTCATCTAAAAAAATATCAAAACATCTACGGTCAAAAACTTTCATTTACACTTCAATTACAAAAAATAAAAAGCTATAAAATGTGAATAAATATTATCATTAAAGATATTGTTATCCATGAGAGTATATTGCATTGTAAGGGTTCATCCCTAGTGAAAAACAAAAACCAATCTATCCCACGGGAACCGTACATTTTTCCGGGATAAAAAGTAAACTATGTGCTCTTCCAGGCTATAATCTATCTCTTTGCCAAATTTTATCCAGATCCGTTCAGTCGTTCTGGCGTGATTGAGTAACAAACATCCATACATACTCACAAACTTTCAATTTTTTCTTTCAATCCATCCATCTAAACTTTCGCATTCATAATATTAATGGAATGGGATTATAAGATAAAAGACGATGCTAAAAAGACTGTATAAAAGGTGCCTTTTTCGCCAAAAACCAAAGAAAAATTTGATATATTACTAAGTACATAAATCTATCATAAATTAGTACCAACATTACAGGAAATAGAACATAACAACTGTACAGTATACTGCAGTCTACTCACATGACGCAGAAGACGAGAAGAATTTCAAAAAGTCCACAGACATGGGGAGCACGAACATCAACACCACTATGAATATGGACACCACACCGTCCTTCACTTTCCTGTTGAATAAACAAAATTGCTTAAAAATCTATACATATAATAATAAAATTTTGAGTCGAATCTGTATATTTTTTTTTAATCTTATTGAAATAGATATTATTGTCGATACAGAGGCGGAATCTATAATACTTAAATTTTTTGTCTATCTGTAAACGCATCACGGAAAAACCACTGGAGGGATTTCGATGTTTGGTATAATGATAGCTGGTTATCCGAGTCAACGTATATGGTACACTTTCTACTGCGGGAAAACGTTAAAACTTAACTAGAGACACAAAAATAGTCAGTTAATACTTTCTTAGATTTACGCAAATATTTGACATTTTAAATAAAACTATCTTTTCGGATTTTTCGCCGATTTATTTGGATTTTTCGTTCCCGAAGTTTCGAAATATTTAGTTAAGACTCACATGGTGGTGACAACGTCGGCCCATCCAGGCATGAATCCAGGCTTTCTGAAGATGTACAGGAACACTGCCAATAAGAACAGCGTACCTGAAGCCTGAAAAATTAATGGAATTAATCATACTAAAAACAAGAAATATATTGTATAAAAAAAAATTGAACACAATTAGAGTAGAGAACAAATTTTTTCTTTACTTTTAAGGGAAGTTTTCAAAGTATAGAAAATTAGCTGTGCCCCGCGGTTTCACTCGCGTTAAATTTGATTATAAACATCAGTTTTACAATAATGTATGGAAGTTTGTCCGATTTACTGACATTTATGATTACTGCTCCGCTCCCTTGGGGAGTAGTATGATGATATATAGCCTATAGCCTTCCTCAATAAACGGGCTATCTAAAGCAAAAAGAATTAATCAAATCGGATAAGTAATTCTTGAGATTCGCACGTTCAAACAAACAAACTCTGTCTCTTTATAATATTAGTATAGACTACAAAACACGTGTTTTGTCGATGACAATTCGTAACATTAAATGAATGTCAAGGCTAACGCATGTTAATTTTATATTCGGAAATCGAATCAAATCCATTCACGAGTAAAGAAAATGGCAAAAATTGTGTAAATGAAAATTAGAAAGTTTTATACCAAAACTACAACATTTTTGCTTTATTTACAATAATAAATATGTTTATACAAAAACTGATGAAACAAAATATTGCAAAATTCCAATAAATATTACCTTCTCGTGGAAAGTAACTGGTCCTAATCCCTTGTACTGTTCCTTTATAACTTTCATGGTATTGAGAGACCCTGAAGACGCCTGGTTCACTCTCTTAGCTGCGTCACTGTTTGGCCTAAAAATATTAAGTTTCAAAGATCACTTTCAAAATAAGCTTTTCTTTACGTAGGGCGTAGGCCTTTGTGACCTTCGTCATTAAAAATATAAGAAATCTCGTATTCTTATTTCCATATACCTCTCGAGAAAATAGAAAAATGTAATAATAAACCTCAAATTAACGAACAGACAGACATGATAATCATAAACAAAAAAAAAATAACAACATACCTAAACAATCCCATATAAGTAACTTGAAGAGATATCCACACGAGTAACTGCATCAACAACATTGGCGGAGTGCTGTACGCCATGAACCAGAAGAAGTCCACCGAGCCAGACACTTCGGGGAATTCCCTAGACAAAACAAAATATTACCCTGTTTGCACAAAAACTTGACTTTAAATCGAATTAGACCAGTGTATATTTCTTTAAAAATACCGAACTTCTTTCTCCAATATTTGGCAATTCTCAAACATGGGCGAGGGCAGAATTATGTCCGGGGAGTGCATCTGTTTCTTAACATTAAATTACTAACTAATCTTTAAATGATTATCTTTATAATTTTAACCTTATTTATAATGTTTTTTTTTCGCAGATACCTAAATTTACACAGGAATTTTACTAACACAATTTTATTTCTTTAACATTTTGCACCACCCTGCCGACGCTTATGGTCGCACGCAATTATTGCATGATAAACCTTAGAATCTTAACGTTAAACATATTTAAAAAAAAGTTTAGAATTTATCTGAATACATGGGTGAGGTCGCAAGCCAAATAAAATAATAATCCATTGCAATATGTATGTTTTTATTTGACAGCCTTGTTGCTTAGTAACCTTATTACAAATAATACTCACGAGTCAAAGATACCCTTGAATGCGGAGTTGGTAGCTGTCCCCACCAGCGTGCCGCAGCCGCCCAGCGTGGACGCGTACGCAATGCTCAAGTAATAGCAGATCGTGATGTCGCTTGGCATCGGCGCTCTTGGTATAATAAAAATATATTAACTCATTAATCTATACTAATATTAAATTAAATATGTCAGGACATTAACACACAACGCCATCTTGTTCCATGGTAAGCTACAAGGCTTGTGCTATGGATACCAGATAGTTGATACATTATACATATATAACTTTAAATACATACATATTATAAATATAAACACCCATGACTGCTCATCACACAAACGAATGCCCCCAGCGGGACTCGAACCCGCGACCGCTGGCGCAGCAAGTAGGGTCACTACAAACTTGAGCCAAACATGTCATCGTATAAAGAGATAAAGTTTGTGAGTTTGTAAGTTTGTGACGCTGTACTTGTACTTGTACTTGGAAGATAGTGGTGCATTCGATTCTTGCTTGGAGTAAACCTTTGTTGTATATACAATATAGACCTGTAGTTTTGTGTGTATGTTACGCGATATATTAGCAAATTCTGAACTTATTTTCATGATTATTTTCTAAATAAAGAAGATGTCCGTTATAGTGCAACAATTTTTTTGAAATGGTTTCGACCCATGCATGTTTTTAGAAAAAAATATTAATGAATAGCTACTTTATTTTAAATAATTTAGTACGTAAAATTATTTACAGTAGTAATTTATATTGAAAGTTTATTAGAATAAGATCTTACTCTTCTTCAACGTGTTTGTCTTGCGCTGGCTTTAAATCTTTGCCATTTTCGGAAAGTGCCTTTTTCTTGTTTATATAGACGTCACCAAGTCCTTGCTACAACCCAAAACTTTATAAATTAATAGAGCCAAAAATTTATGAGTTAATACAAAATATGTAGTTCAAAATCATAAAGGCAAGAATAACAAATACTGCTTTTAAATAATTTTTAATAAAAAATATTAAATATCAAGTAAGTACCTGTTCAAAAACTTCTAAAATTGCATCTACTATGGGGACCATCATTGTAGTGGCCGCTGCGTTAGATACCCACATGGATATGAACATGGTCACAAAAGTTAAACCCAAGTTTAATCTAGAAAGGTAGAAAAAAAACATTTTTAATATATCCATAAAAAATAATATGGTCAAAGGCATCACAGGGATTCTATTGTACGATTTCCACGTGGTTATAAATCAGTATAAAAACCAAACAGTGTTAGTGGTTAATTTGCATGGTGCATGATTTCAAAGTTTAAGCACTGTAGTGGCACCATCTTGTGGCAAGTTACAGTTATTCCTATCAAACCTAAAGCCGTTTCCTGATTGTCATATTTAAATGTACGAACTGTCATACACATAGGATGGGTCTCCCACCCGTCACCCCCACATGCCCCACCTTCATAAGACCACTATATAAATTAATAAACTATAGGTTAACCCGGCGTCATTGTGGTACGAAATTGTTACACGGATGTTGAGGTGGGTCAAAACAACCCGTATTTGTAATGTACGACATTTTTATGTTTTGTAGAATATATTCGTAATCTTTGTCATTATAATGTATATTTACCCTCTAATTATAGGAATAAAAGAAAAAAGATTCAATCACAGAACATTTATTGATATTTTTTTAAATTAAACTTAATCTCATAAAAACTTAACAAAAATGAGATACCTTCGAGTTTCACAGCCTTATTACTCTAAAATATAATCTTTTCAGTCATATATGTAACTTAAATTATACCTTACTAACAAATCTTTGAAAAAAAATTTAACAAAACTAATTGGTATCCTCATTATTTACACAATCACTGCAGAAAGGTATGATATGCTTAGTGCAAATATATTTGTCACAACCTCGACATGTTTGTTTCGTTTTGCGATTCTTTTTTGCTGGGCATATTAGTATTTTAGCAGGAGGCTCTTCAGATAAATCACCAGTAAACTCCCGGATTCTCTTACGCATTTCTCGCCTTCTTCTGAATCAGATTCCTCAAGAATTGACAAAATTCGTTGGCTCTCTCTATCCATGTTCCTCAAGAATTGACAAAATTCGTTGGCTCTCTCTATCCATGTTTCTAACTACTTTGAAGCAAGGAAAAACTAATAATATCAAAATAATAAAAAAAACTTAAGTAAACACCAAAAAACAAAATTAAGTAATAAAAAATCATACAAAAACAAGGTGCAAAATTGTAACGCTAACTGTGAGCATGGGTCAAATTTACCTTTTTGTCAAATGCACGCGTGTAGCTCCCAGTGTGGTCACCACTCGACTGATTTCTTTTCAAAAACTTTTAGAACACAGCATTGGGTCCAGCTACTGAGAAGAATGGAAATGTCGCGCGCGCACATAAAAAAATATACGCATTCTTAAACGCACTGGGTCTTCCTGACCCAACCTCAATGACGCCGGGTTAAACTAAGAAGTTACTCTGACAAAATGTAATGTTGAATAATTATTTGTCAAACACCGTTTTTTACTTACCGTCTATGTGAGCATCCAACAACTTGTACGGTCCACAGTGCAATTCTCTTAGGCAATCTAGAGTGCTGAACTCCAGCAGCTATCATCAGACCTCCCATGAACATCATATTGGTTTCTTTCATATACGCTGCACAAGTTTTATCAGAATCCAAGATGCCCATAGTTGGGAATAAAACAATAGGTAACATTGAGGTAACGGGAAGAGGTAATAACTCAAGTACCCAGTACGTAGCCATTATTAATACCACGTACATACATTTGTAGGCCTAGAAATATAAAAATAAACACTTTAAAATGGGCTTTAATACATATTCATTACTTATTTTTTTTACATAATATGGTCCTTCGAGCCGGATTTTTAAGTAACTAATTTGTTAATAAACCTACCTTTCCATTTTCTGAAGCAGAATATAATATAGGTATCGGCAATAAAACTAGTGGTGTCAATGCCACTATAACTGCTTTCCAGTAAATGGAGAAGAATAAACTTAGTCGTTGCCATAATGTCGCACTCGATCTTCCTCTGTTAAAATAGTATGTTGTACCACTGAAACATAATAACTAACTAGTATATTTTATCTTAGAAAAGTTTATTTATTAGTTTAATATTTAGTAATTAAAACAAAAAAACCGACTTCAAACAAAAGCACTAAAAAGTAAAAAATAACTGATTGGTAGTTTTCATTTACTATACATACCTAATCAAATATTTTCGAAGTTGGTGTGCTTTGCTTTGTATGGGCTGGCACCGATTTCGAAAATATTTGATTAGGTATGTATTTAATAGGTAGGCTTTAATTACTTAGCCAAAGCACACCGACTTCGAAAATATTTGATTAGGTATGTATAGTAAATGAAAACTACCAATCAGTTATTTTTTACTTTTTAGTGCTTTTGTTTGAAGTCGGTTTTTATTTTCTTGTTAAAAAGTTTTTATTTTTCCCTTTTTAGTGTAGACAGTAGTATCAAAGTAAGAATTATTATAACGTGTTAGGCTTGTCAAATCAAACAAAAACCCAAACCCAAACTCAAAGTATCTACTATTAATTAGCCTTGAAGACTTCCACCTATCCACCTTCTGGCCTTACCATCAGATCAGGTCAACAATACCGAACCACTGTACTATCAACGGAAATAGAAACACTTGCAAAGTTTCAAGTCAATATGACAATTAGAAGTAGGTTAAATTCATCATTAACTATTTTTCCACCCTTAGGGGTGGTATTTTTTTTGAAATTTAAATGGGAACAATCTGGAGCTATACACTTTCAAGCAAAACAAAAATTGTCCAAATCGGTTAATACATGACGGAGTTCTGAGGTAACAAACATAAAAAAAATACAGTCGAATTGAGAACCTCCTCCTTTTTGAAGTCGGTTGAAAATCGTATACATGTATAGTTTTAGTAATTATAAATGATTTGTGTGGATGAGATGTACTTATAAAGTTTCAACTGTAGCTAGCACTGATTAAGTCGTTAGGTCGCATATTCGATTTCCGATACATATACATTTAATCGTTAAAGCGCAGCGTTTATTATCTGAATATTGGCGGGAAGATATATTGACTGAAAAAAATATATTTATCTATCACTAATTCTAATTATAATATCTAGACAGATGATATAGGAACTTTAAATACGACATTCTCTCTCTCTTAATGACTCTTAATGTTTCTACTGCGAAGAAAACTTAAATAAACTAAGGAAAAGTTATTACCGAGCATCTTCTGTAATCCCGTTTTCTGCTCCAGTAGACATTTTCAAGGCTTTTTTTGCTAAATTATGAAAATGTTAAGGATTTCTTGTATATCTCATCTCAAGTGTACCTGAAAAAATTTAAATATATTTTAGTAAAAAAAGAAAATTTTTATATTTGACAAATATTAAGTACTCAACAAAGAAGAACATTCTGAAGTTTAAAATAAAAAGTTTTCTTATGTTGGACATCTGTTGACTCCATAAATATATACTCGTACATCAAAATAAAAAGAAATTAAAAATATTAATATACAGGCACCAATGAATGGGAAACGGAAAATAAGAATCTTAAATATTGAAGATTTCAAGATTCTCTCAAAGAAAACATTCCTTTATCTTTTTCCAATGATTTTTCCAGGGGTTTTATTCTTATCATAAATTAGTGTCGTACTTTTTTAGATTTTTAGCTGGTTCGATTACCGGTTCTAGTAATTTTCCAAAGAAATATTTAAATGCAGTGAATAATGTTTTTAAAAATAAATCAATGTTTTTTTAAGTGATATTTGATATCTTCAATATTGAAGATACTTTATCCATATCCTATTGGTTCGTACCATTTTTAATATCGATAAAATATTAAGTGTTTCTTTAAAAAACATCTATAACATATTATGCTTAAAACGGAACGCAACGATGCGCACATTATTACAATTCTGTAGTAGCTAGAAACGTCAGTGTCATTTCTTTATAAACTTTGACAGCCGAAATTAATAAAAACAAGTTTTAAAAATTAATTCAAATTAAAGTATAACAACAACAACTAATTAATTATTATTAGGAAAATCTAAATATTTCATTAGTTGTTTTTACTTTTAAAAATACTTATGTGACTACGTGATAGCGTAAATTTCTTTAACATGAAGAAACAAGATATTACATCAAGGACAGAAGGTAAGACCTATTTATTACTGGAAATGAAGACAAATTCATCAATAGGCCTTAATTTATATGTATTTCGTTTATTCTATTTGAATCTGATCTATATAACCTTGTCAAGAATCTGAATACCAACAGTTTAAAATTAACTTATAAATATTGAAAAAAATCTACAATGTATTGTCTAAAACACGATCTGCTATATAATATTTAAGCTTTTAATTAAAACATGTTACTTACGCACAAAGAGATGTAAACAACATTGAATAAACAACAAAACATAACAAAAACATAAAATCGTAACCTATAAAACACAGTCTTATGCAAATTAGCTGTTGTTTACATTAAGAGTTAATAGATTGCAATACACTTGTTTATTGATGTTATACTTCCTTTTGCATGTTTGAAAAAAATATGAGAGTAAAATTTTTACGATGTGTGTGCACACTGACAGCATGAAAGCGACATGATGAATTTACCTGCATTCCTTTTACAAACAAAGAGTTGTGACATACAGGACGAAATCTTTAGCTATTTTTCTTCTGTTATGCTACAGAAGTATAACTTCTTAAATGTGTACATAAGTACACACACACTTTTTTTTTAATTTCCTTAGGAATTAAATATTCAATTCATTTAGGTTATGGAATGTCAATTTTCAACAATTGAGTGCTAATGCTATGTATATGAAATGATTCTTATTCACCATATAATTTTTATTGATTTTTAATGTCTTTATTTATTTACACATATTTGAAATAAATTGTTGTGAATATTTGTGCTAGATTAAGATGGTTGTATAGATGCTCTTTCATAGCCGAATGAAGTGTGTTAAATAATATTTTATTTCACTTATTGCATTTAATAATTAATTATGCTCTTTTTTCTATACATTAATGAATTTTTATTCAAAAATGTTGTCTTTTTCTTTTTTATTCTTATTTAGTTATTTATGGATATAGTAAACACTACATTCATATAAAATGTTTGTAAAAACTGTATTACTCATATATCTTAAATGTTCTCCTTTAAACACAAAGTAATGACACAATATATTTAAAATATCTTAATACACTAATGTAATTAAAGTTAAATTATGCCTTAAGTATTTCATATCTTTTCATTGTGTGCACAAGTAGATTCCTACCTATCCATATTCTAAGAGACAAACTCGATATAACAAAATGAAATGGATAGATATAAATAGATGAGTATTGAATATGTTCTAAATACGAAAAACGAAAACTAAATACGAAAGCTCTACTAAAATAAATTCATTACACCACGAAATAAAAATAAAGGGTACTGAAAACTAAACAGAACAGATAGAATCTTCGGTCAGCTGAAAAACTTATAAATCAGTAAACAACGTCCAATATAAATGACTTCGGTCTTGATTTTACAGTTCCGAAGTCCAAGGTGAAAGAGCTCGTGTAGTATATTATATTGTGGGGTCAGTTAAATAACGGCTGGGGGCGTGACTACGTGCGTCATAAGCGGGCATGTACGCATTTCTCAATAGGAAGGCACTCAGACTATCAATAGTTCGAAATAAACTGGTTGTTCAAACTAGAAGTCGGAAGGTGTGGCAAATATTACGCAATATATATTGTTTTGTACAGCAGTTAAACGGATAGTTGCATTTTCCTATTTTGGATATACGTATTTTGTAGTTGGCACTTGTTAGATTATCTGTGTGATTACTTAATTTTTATAAGCTTTTTAATTTTTTTTTATCTTTCTATTTGTCTAGGCTAAAAGTAGGATAGTTCACGAATTCAGGTTTCAGGATGAGGTAGAAATTTCAAAGAAACTTTTGCTTTTGAGATATTTTGATGATACGTTTGTAAGTGCTGTGCCAGTGGTCGCGGGTTCCAGTCCCGCTGGGGGCATTCATTTGTGTGAGCACGAATGTTTGTACTCCAGTCATGGGTGTTTATATTTATAATATGTATGTATTTAAAGTTATATATGTGTAGTGTATCAAAAATCTGGTATTTATAACACTCGTAGCTTACCATGGAACTAGATGGTGATGTGTTTAAATACCCCAACATTTATTTATTTAAATACGGAGTCGCTCAATTTTTTAAATATGAAAATAAAAATTGCTTGAACGTAAAAATGGTTATATCTTAAAAGAATAAAACTGTAGCTATTAAGCATGAAAATACTTAATTACTATGCCCATTTCATTTCGTTGCGGTATTCGTAAATCCTTTAGAATATTATGAGATCTGCTAATAGGTACTCTACTTAATTTGTCTCAACTGACATCTTTACATTTGTATTTGTATAGATGTATTTATTTTACACTCTTCGTCTTTATACCTATACATTAGTTTCAATATGTATATTTTTGCAATATTCTAAAATTTTAATATATATATATACATAATATATCAATTTAATTATTAATAAATTAAGTAGGTAAGTACATTTTACAAATACTTATTAAAATCGGTGTAGCCGTTCTTGGGGAATACATAGATAACGAGCACTTACTCTAGCTTCGCTCGGTTCGTCCCTAGGTTGATTTCCCATACAAACATTCATCCGCATTTTCACCTCCTTAAGGGATGAATTCCGAATAAAAATTCCTTTGTCCTTCCCAGGGTCTCAAACTATCTTTTCACCAAATTTCATCTAAATCGGTCCAGTAGTTTTTGAGTTTATTCGTTACAAACATACAAAAATACAAATCTTTCCTCTTTATAATATTAGTGTAGATAAAATGCAAAGATGTCCCTAAGATTTTGAAAAAGAACACCTGTAACAATATAATACATTTAAATCGTTTACATTTATTTGTTGTTACATTATTGCCAAAGTAATGATGTTCTCCTGGCCGATTCCGGCCACGGCGGCCAATCTCATTGAGACTAGCCAACTGCGCAGGAGATATTATAGTGCTCAAGTGTACGCGCAGACACAAGTGCACTCTCTATTCCTGTCACTCTCATATTCCGGTGGGACGACTGCTCGACACGACCAGTGAGAGTTAAGGCGCAGGACCGACGGCTTTACGTGCTCTCCGAGGCACGGGGGTGAAACACCGCCAACTTCCCAACTCCGGGCTGTTACTGAGACTTACTATACAGAAAGACTCAATAACTAAACTTGGCCCGACCCGGGACTCGAACCCAGGACCTCCGAGTGTGCAGCCGTACATGCTAGCCACTACACCACCGAGGCAGCGCCAAAGTAATATTATGATTAATAACATCATCTCAATGTAATAGCCACTTGCTGATACGGTGAAGGTGAAATCCATACTAATATTATAAATGTGAAAGTGTGTTTGTTTGTTTGTTCTTCTTTCACGTCAAAACGGAATGACCGATTGGCGTGATTTTTTGTGTGGAGATACTTAGAGGGCTAGAGAGTGACATGTGACAGGTTACTTTTTATCGCGGGAAAGTATAGAATTCCCACGGGAAAACACGTTATCATACAATCCAAAAAAATATTTATGATCAGAATTACTTGAAACTTAGTATTATTGCTCTTCAAGTTCAAATTAAATAAAAACGTGTCTAGAATTTTTGAAATTCATCCTATAAGGGGGTAAAACAGGGAGTGAAAGTTTGTATGAAACAACCTTTTTTAGAGATTTTTTGTAGTTTTAGCACGAGTGACGCCGCGGGTTCTGCTAGTCTCAAATATTCCTGAGTCCTGTATGTTTGATAGAACTTACTAGTCTTGAAAGGTGAATGAAGCCTGTCAATTCGCATTTGGCCAGCGGAGTGGACTAGAGCCTGGTCCTCCTCACATTGAGCAGAGATCCGTGCCCAGCAGTGGGAAGTTAACAACGGTTGATTCACTATTAATGATTAATATTGGTAATGTTGCCTGTAATCACCTCAAATATATCCGTATAATAAAATTGTAACTAAGCCGAATCTGTACATAAGATATTTTTTGGAAAATCTTATTGAAATAAACATTATTATCGATACAGAGGCCAAATCTATAGTTTTTAGAATTTTTGTCTGTCTGTCTGTTACCGCATCACGGAAAAACCACTGGAGGGATTTTGATGAAATTTGGTATGATGATAGCTGGTTATCCGGGTCAACATATAGAATACTTTTTAACGCGCGAAAATATCTCATTTCTGAGAA